AGATCAAGGCATTGCAGATTTGATTTCTCCTGAGGCCTCTTTCCTTGGTTTGTAGACGGCCACCTTCCCTCTGATCTTCAAGTGGCTTTTCTTCCATGTACTTGGAAGAAGGAGAGATCTCTGCTGCCTCTTTCTCTTTTTTTAAGAACACCAGTCATATGGACTGAGGCAGCACTCTTATGACATGATTTAACCTTAATTGCCTCTCTTACATCCCTATTCCCAAGTAACAGGGATTTAAGGCTTCAACGTCTGAATTTTGGCACAATTCAGTCCATGGTACTGTGGATCGGTCCCAGATTTCTGGAGAGATCTTTCACAGAGGGTTAAAAAGAATGCATATGTTGATGCTGGTATTATATTCCATAGTAAAACTTAGAAATAGGCAGAATGGAAAAAAGCTGAATGGAAAAAGCAGGTGAAGGCTCAGAGAACAAATGGGCTTAGGGCTACTCACATGGTAGTAGGGTGGTGGGTTAATTGGTAAATGTTTTTAATTATTAATTTTTTATGTTGCATGATATTGCTTTTGCAGCAATAACCACGCAAATACCTATAGAAAAGTTGATAAAGGGACTTAAACTTTTTCACCCCTTGGAGTAAGTGAACACTAGCAAGTGCTCTGTCAGCGTGGTTTGGTGTACTGTAGAAAGCAATCAGGAGGGGATCAACATGGCACTGGAAGTGGGAAGGGACCCCACTGCAGCAGGAGCATTAGCAAAAGCCCAGAAAAGGACAGCTTGGGAAGAACCTGGCACACCCCCCTCTTCTGATTTAGCCTGCTGTGGGTTCTGCTGTACAGCCTATGATGACCCAGATCATTTCCTGGATTCTGCCTTCAGAACTGAGCTGAGCCCCTGTGTGATGCTGCCACAGTGCCCCAAAACAGATGGGAAGGAAGCATAATTGAAGAAGTAATCCCCCGTAATGGCCGCCCTCCCCGCCCCCGATATTAGAGCAAACATTCCCATAGGTATAAGATGATGAATGAGAGATTCTTTTGTCTGGTTTCGTCACTGCCCTCATAACTATTCCTTCAGTCTTTTACCTGGAAGAATTGCCCCCAGCTGAAGTAATAGGTGGAGTAGACCCTTGATTTAGATTGTAGGTCTTGAAGTGCTCAGGCGCCCTAAGCATGTGGCCCATACCCATTTTAGGACAGATTGTTATGGCGGTGAGCCTACTGTAACCTTCATTGGCAAAGCAGAGTCCATTGCTGCTATCTGAGCCAAACCTTATAAATAGATCTTATAAACAGGATAGAGTCTCCAATCTCTTATAACAACCAACTTCCCCTAATCTTTATGGCGAGCCTAAGTGCCGGCACAGCCCCATAACCCTGAGCCACTCAGACCTCCCCACGATGCTGGTCTCCCACCCGACTCCGTCAAGCCGGGTCCTCTGGAGGTTAAGGGAATTTATTCTGAAATGAAATGGCAACTGGAAAAAGCTTTTATTTTCATATGGGAAAAAACCTCATGAAGCATTTTTTCTCCTGCTTAGTGTTCATAACAGCAGCCTGGAATGCTTTCTGCAACCAATTTGTAGATGTTCTTATAAAACACATCTCTCTCCTTGATCTGATTTTTCCCCCCTGCGCTTTTGTTCTCCTTAAACCTTTCAGCACAGCAGCATTCAAGATGTTCACTTGAATGACATCTAAAGAAATGCCACCCCATTAATGTGGAGTCATCCCATCCACGGGCTGTGCATCACTCCTTTAATTGGGATGGCTTGGTTCCCTCCCAGATGTTCCTTTTCAGCAGATACCATTGTGTTTTAAAACTTTGGGTAAGTACAGCTCTGTAAACCTAGAGAGCTGTTGGCTCCAGCCAGCTCCTGCTCCTAATGTAATAGCTTCATTGTTTAGTAATCGCCCTATTCACAAAGCAAAGGGATCCGTGTCGCCAAAGACATCTATTCAAAGCACCTTCTCTGTGCTGGATAAACACTGGCAGAAGCAGCTACCAAGCGAACCAAAACACTCACAGGGAACTCGGCCACACGTTTGGCCAGGCTGCTTTTCAATTCTCAAATGGGACTGTTCTTCAGAAATGTCTTCACCTTTTCTTTGGCAACCAATCAGCCTGCAGGCAGAGTCTTTTGCTTTGCTCGTGAAATCCTCGCTAAATGCTGAAGAAAAGAATTTGTCAGAAAATTTTGTGGGCAAGTGTCTGCAGCGTAGAAATGAGGCGAAGGGCCTCAGATGAGATGCCGACCGCTGGGGAGCAGGCTGCACATGCTCTCCCCGAGGAGGACGGGGAGAGATAAATGTCCCTAAGCCCACCCCCAGAAAAATTCAGAACAATTTCTGGGAGGGCTGTGGGAGAGACTCAACAGCGGCCACACAATGTAGAAAGAGGGAGAGAGCTTCTTAGATTCTTTTGAGGATGTTCGCCGGAGCTTAGACCCTGAGGTTCCGAGCCAGTGGGAGCCTGGTGAATGTGGGAGCCCAGATTTCTCTGGCTCTTGCGTACGCCTGCTAATGCAGAAGCACACCCTCTCTGAAAAGTCCTCCCTCCTGTGCGGGTGTTTCTGAAACTCCCTGGGAAATCTACTTGGAGGGTAAAGAGCTTGAGCCAAGCCTAACTGATCTGCACTTACATTCGAGGCGGATCTGAGAGCCTAGCGCTGCCCAGTCATCATACTGAAGGCTTCAGCAGACCACGCAGTAGGTGCATGCCGCTTTGCTGCCTCCTCATTTCTCCTCGGTCCAGTCCTGACCCTGCAGGCCCAGGAGTGCAAGCCAGAATCTTGGGAGAGGGCAGAAGTGAACAAGAGAAAAAGCAGAGGGAAAGTTTAAAAATAATTGCCGTAAGTGGTATAAATATAGAATATCCCATGTGTGTATAAATACATATTATATAGGTATATATAAATCATTTGTGTGTGGATATATATATACCTATATAATATATATTTACATGTGTATGTGTGTGTGCATGTATATATGTGTTGAAGGGATGACTGCTTTTTGTGTGTGTGTGACAGTTTTGCTCTTATTGCCCAGACTGAAGTGCAATGGTGTGATCTCAGCTCACTGCAACCTCTGCCTCCCAGGTTCAAGTGATTCTCCTGCCTCAGCCTCTCAAGTAGCTGGGATTACAGGCATGTGGTACCACACCTGGCTAATTTTGTATGTTTAGTAGAGACAGGGTTTCTCCCATATTGGTCAGGCTGGTCTTGAACTCCTGACCTCAGGTGATCTGCCCACCTCGGCCTCCCTAAGTGCTGGAATTACAGGCGTGAGTCACAGTGCCCAGTTGGGATGACTGCTTTGACATAAAGATTGTTTAGAGGTGAAAATATTTAAAATCTTATCTGAACTTTCCTTATCTGACTAAAGCAGAGCCTTTCAAAAATACAGCTGCTATTAACCCTGCTCTGAGGGGGTTTCCTGTGAATTCCAGGAAGTAGACAAATTGCTCCTTCCCATTAGCACCAAAAAAAAACCACAAAAACCTCACAGCACCTTACACGTTTTCCCATTGAATCCCTAAATTCCTGCTGCTCCCTTTTTTGTTATATTGGTATAAAGTGAGCATCCTTAACCCAAAATCCAAACTGCTCTAAAAATCAGAAAGTTTTTGAGCACTGACAGGATGCCTCACGTGGAAAACCCCACACACATATATGGACGGAACACAAACTTCGTTTAGATGCGAAATTCTTTTTAAAACTGTATGAAGCTATCATCGGTCTATGGGTAGGAGATGCATGTAAAACATAAATGAATTTTGTTTAGACATAGGGCCTGAGATTCCCGAGATATCTCATTATGCACATGCAAACATTCCAAAATCTGAAAAAATCCAAAATATGAAACACTTCTAAGTCCCGAGTATTTCAAATAAGGGATATTCAGCCTGTATGTAAACGTTTATCACAGGGTATTTAGTGGGGTGTTCAGTGAGTTACTCATTAGTGACATCAAATGCACGTGGGAATAAACCTTCTCTTTTTTTCTTCTAATCTGTCTATTGCCAGTTAATTTGAGGCCCCCAAGCATTTGAACCTAAGTGAATAGGCAAAAAGTCTTCCTCCCAATAGTTTAGATATATATATATATACACACACACACATATGCACACACATGTGTATATTCTGTGGACAGTTCCTACAGGTATAGAACAGGAAATATATATTCTGGCCACCTGTCCCAAGGGTACCTTCATCTCCTCCATCCTAACCCACAGTTGCAAACCACCACTCAGAGTGGGTCTCTTTCCATCGGGGTCTGCTTCTGTCAGGTGGGCATCAGCTGTGCCCATCCGGTCTGCTGGGCACTCACATCTTCCAGCTGAGGCCCATGGCCCTCGGGTCTCCAGAGCTACTGAGCTGCCTATAGTTGGGAGCCTCTACTTCTTGTGATGTTTTGTTGATATATTTTTAAAGCTTCGAGCTTGCACACTAATGTTTTCTAGGGCTTTAATGGAACACCACTTCTATTGTTTTGTTTTGGTTTCCTTCCCTTTAAACATTTTCCCTTCTCCCCATGGGGATTACACCTGCATCTGCCAGGGCTACTGGGGAGCCATTCCCCATCCAGAGCCTACCAGCTCCCTCAGGCCTCTGCGCTGGTCCTGTTAGTGCTATTTGCCCAGCCTCAGAACACTGCCTGGCACCTGGCCCAGGTCCACAACCCCTATCCATAATTCTAAACTCCCCAGACCTCTGAATTTTTCATAACCACCTTGGTGGCAAAACATGAAGTGAAATAAGGCTACATTTATCCCACTTAGCGTGAATATTCATCTATTCGGCTGAGACGGGACTGCGGAAATACCGTGTTTGATCTTTAAAGTGTTGCCTCCAACCCCTCCAGGGATGTTATATAATATTTGGTTTATGCATCACGTTGCCTTTCTGAAATCTGAAAATTTCTGAATTCTAAAATACATCTGGCCTCAAGGGCTTCTGATATGTGTTTCTGGGCTTAGGCACATGTCAACAAATGTGCTGAAGGCATTTCTGAATCTCTCCTTCTTTCCCACCTCCAGGGCCCTGTTAGGAGTTCGAGGTGTGTGGCTCCTTCCTCTCTGATAAGAACCATCCCCCAGTCTCCAGACAAATAGGTATAAGTATCTTTTCCTCATCTATCCCAGGCTTATGGCTTATATCCCTAAACACAAGACAGATTAACAAGGGTAAAGCCTACATATTTCTTTAATATAAATTTTATATGACATGGAAACTTCAAAAATGAAGATCCACCCCACCCCGCCCCAACGTAAACAGAGAAACCTGTGTATTTTCACGCTCAGGGTTGATGAAAGCGTGATTGGACAAAGGGGATATGACGTCATGGTAATGAATTGGGGGGGGAACTTAGCAAGGCCTGTTTGTTCAGATTCTTCTTGGTGTTTCTGTGTCTTCCTTACTTTTCTCTGGGAGTAGGGAGGGCATCCATCACATGAGGTCTTATGACCTGCTACAAGGGAGAAGGGAGAAGGCAAGGTGAAAGTGGCCTTCCTGCTTCTGTTCTTTTCCAAAATGCCATGGTGCTATATTTTACTGTATTATTTATTTATTTTGAGATGGAGTTTCACTCTTGTTGCCCAGGCAGGAGTGCAATGGCATGATCTCGGCTCACCGCAACCTCCGCCTCCTGAGTTCAAGCGATTCTCCTACCTCAACTCCCAGAGTGGCTGGGACTACAGGCATTCACCACCACGCCAAGCCAATTTTTTTTGTATTTTTAGTAGACATGAGGTTTCTCCATGTTGGTCAGGCTGGTCTTGAACTCCCAACCTCAGGTGATCTGCTCACTTTGGCCTCCCAAAGTGCTGGGATTACAGGCATGAACCACTGGCCCAGGGTGCTGTATTTTAAGGTAGTGTGTCCTGAACCCCATCAACCTAGGCCTGCCCAGGTTCACTATGACCACAGGGGATGGTCCACACATGAAATAAAGCCAGGTCCCAAGTACACATGGGAGTTTCATAAAAAGAAATCCACCCTTAATATCACATTAGGAAAAAATAAGATAGACAGAATATTTTCAAATCTGAGCTGGCATTCAGGTCTAGTCAGTTAGCAGAAAAAAATTTTTTTTTTTTTTTTTTGAGATGGAGTTTCGCTCTTGTTACCCAGGCTGGAGTGCAATGGCGCGATCTCGGCTCACCGCAACCTCCGCCTCCTGGGTTCAAGGCAATTCTCCTGCCTCAGCCTCCTGAGTAGCTGGGATTACAGGCACGCGCCACCATGCCCAGCTAATTTTTTGTATTTTTAGTAGAGACAGGGTTTCACCATATTGACCAGGATGGTCTCTATCTCTTGACCTCGTGATCCACCCGCCTCGGCCTCCCAAAGTGCTGGGATTACAGGCGTAAGCCACTGCACCCGGTCACAGAAAAAAGTGTTTTTGAAGAAATGTAATCTAGTAGCAGTCATTTATAGACCTGCTGAATACAGACATTTATCTACAATTCAGTCATACCGAATCAGCTTCAGATGGGGGTTCTAGAATCCTACTGTTGTTAATATTTTAATCTCCTTCTCTTTTTCCTCCTCACTCTTCTGCCCAAGGTCCTGAGTCTACTCTCCTGGTATCCCAAAGGGATGTGGTTAGGTTTATTCTGCAGCTGAAGAAGCTCATGCTTCATAGCCTGTGGCTAACACAAGCCTCTTCTGAGCTCTGCACCTCCTTTTGTGTTTGAATTTGTGAGTTCTACTCCTTCACAATGACCTCCCAGTTATTAAGCTCTAGACCCTACAAAACATGACCCCTCCCCTTGGAGATGACAGGTATTGCTGGTCCCCGAGGGAAACCATGGGTGTCTCCCTGCAGTCTTTTCTATCCTCAGGGTGGAGCATGTATAAGGCAACCCTTCCTCATGTTAATAATGATGGATTCCCACTGCATAACTTGAACATTTTGTGCTAAAATACTCGCCACTTCCAGGAATCAGAGGCCAAAGAAAGGGAAAGTCTCTGTATCCCTGAGATAGGGATTTCACCTCTCATTCATAGATAAGAAAAACGATGCTCAAAGAGCTTGACAAGTCATTTATCTAAGATGGTGCAGCTGGTAAGAGATCCAGTCAGAAGTTGAACCCAGGTCCTAAACTCCAAAACCGGTGCTTCTTATTTTATCCTATATTCCTAATTCATCCGAGGCAACCATTTGAAGAAAGAAAGAATCTGGACCCTTCTTTTCAGAGTTAGTTAACTGAACCTTCAGTCGCTGAGTAACCTAACCCTAAGAGTGCCAGCATTTTTAGTGAACACACATATGCGTTTTGGGGCTGCTTTCTCTTCTTTCCCTTTCTTTTACACCAATGTGTGTTTCAGCAGGAAGGCAATCCTTATACTTCAGGTGCTGACATGCTTACTCCACTTCATACTTTTTGGCTCAATTTTTAAAGAGGGCTTTATGACTTGGAGCCAGAGCAATCCTAACGTGTCTTTGTCACGAACATGCTAATATTTGTGCTAATGGCAGGGTGCAAAATCCAGGAAGGCCAATGACATGGGGCTGAGAGGCAGGGCCTTCTTGTCACCCCTACATGACATAAGGGTTCCAACAAGGTGGGCTTCCAGGTGTTGATCCAGTGCGGAGTGCAATGCAGAGGTGACAAGGAAGGGACACTCTATGAGTTTATAGGAGCTGTCATAACAAAGTATCACCAACTGAGAAGCTTAAAAACCAGTAATTTATGGCCTCATAGTTCTGGAAGCTGGAAATCCAAGATCAAGCCACGCTCCCTCTGAAGGCACCAGGGAAGGATCTAGTGTTCCAGGCTTCCCTCCTAGTTTCTGGTAGTTCCTAGGCTTGTGGCAGCATGAATCCAACCTTCACATGGTATTTTTCCTCTGTGTGTCTGTGTCCAAACTTTTCCTTTTGTTTTCATATAGAGTCTCACACATCGTCACCAATGCTGGAATGCAGTGGCAGGATGTCAGCTCACCACAACTCCGCCTCCCGGTTTCAAGTGATTCTCCTGCCTCAGCCTCCCGAGTAGCTGGAACTACAGGCACATGCCGAGTGGCTGGAACTACAGGTACATGTCACCACGCCCAGCTAATTTTTTTTTTTTTTTTTTTTTGAGATGGAGTTTCGCTCTTGTTACCCAGGCTGGAGTGCAATGGTGCGATCTCGGCTCACCGCAACCTGCACCTCCTGGGTTCAGGCAATTCTCCTGCCTCAGCCTCCTGAGTAGCTGGGATTACAGGCACGCGCCACCGTGCCCAGCTAATTTTTATATTTTTGGTAGAGATGGGGTTTTTCCATGTTGTCCAGGATGGTCTCAAACTCCTCACCTCAGGTGTTCCGTCTGCCTCAACGTCCCAAAGTGCTGGGATTACAGGTGTAAGCTACCATGCCCAGCCCCAATTTTTTTCTTTAGATAAGGATACTCAGTCATATTGTATCGGGGGCTCACCCTACTCCAGTATTACCTCATCTAAATGAATTATTATATCTGCAACAACTGTATTTCCAAATAGAGTCACATTTTGAGGCACTGGGGTTAGGATTTCAAAACATGAATTTGGATCATGAGAACATAATTCAACCCATCACAGACCACCCTCTGGATCATCCTCCTCACATACAAAATGGATTCGCCCAAACCCAACACTCCTGAAAGTCTTGATGTATTCTAGTGTCGACTCAAAGTTCAGAACCTCATTTATATATCATCTACATGAGGTGTTCGTGACACTCAGTGTGATTCATTCTGGAGCAACATTCTTCTCTAGCTGTGAGCCTATGAAACCAGACAAGTTTACTTGCAAGACACAAATGTTAGGACAGCTATAGGCCAGACATGCCCATTCCAAAAGGGAGAAATCAGAAAGGAAAGGCGGCTCCAAAGTTCCGAGGAGATTCAAAACCTGGCAGGATAAATTCCATTGGATTTTAAGCTGTGTGAATAATGATCTTTGGCTTGACGCTCTGTCCTCTGAGCTCATTTAAATTATGCAAAAAAAAATTAATTTGCTCAAAGTCTACTGATTTTAAGTATTAATCACATTTAAAAAAACACCTTCACAGCAACATGTAGACTGGTGCTTGACCAAGTAAATGACGCAATAGCCGAGTCCGGTTAACACATAAAATTAACCATTGCAAATACTTCTTGAGAAATTACCAAAATATGTCCAAGATGGGGGAAAGCCAGGAATAAGCTCTTAGGAGAGAAGGTAAAGACGTATTTTGGCTGCTTGTCTTGGACTATGTACCCGAGAGGTGGGACTCAGAGCAATCATCAACTGAAGATTGTACAAAGCATAGTTTTAATCTGTCACAATGGCTTAGATCAGAGGAATGCACAGGAAGAACTTTGTGCTTTTGGTCATGATAGAGCCAGAGAATTTTCTTTATCATCTAGGGTGGGAAGCAGATGAGGTGACTAGAAAGTCAAGTGAAAATAGCATCAGGAGTAGCCTGAGGGGTACCAGAATATGCCACCCCCAGATACGCCTCTTTGGCATATGGATTATTTTGAGCTCGAGGCCATTGGAACCAGCAGACTCAGGAAAAGCTCTAAAACCAGGGCACGTGGTTTCCCTTAATAAAGGAAATTCAGATTTGTAGAGATATCTCCCTCTTCTATACCAGGAAAAGGAGTACTCTTAACAACTTGTCAATGAAGAAGGTACTGATTTAAATCTACATAACAAAACTCACTAAACAACTCTTGCCTACCGTACTCTTTCTGGTCACCATCCCATAACTTGCCTCTCCCACTCAGAACCCTTTTCCTGTGTTTGTGTTAAGGTGATATATAAGCCCAAGTTCTAACCACTCCTTTGGGTTACTCACCTCCGGGTACTTCCATGTGTAATCAGGATGCACATGTTAATAAACTGCTGCTTCCTTTTCTCTTGCTAATCTGTCTTTTGTCAGTCCAATATATAGGGCCCCAGCTGGAGAATCTAGAAGAGTAGCAGAAAAAATAATGTTTTTTCCTCCCTTGTAAGCTCTAAAAGACAACTGTCTGATCTAGGGCTGGGTGTACTAGGAGGGAGAAAGCCCCTCATGACCTCCTGAACGTGCCTCACCAGACCAATAGTGTATTGTATTTTATTTGACTCTCTATGTATGTATGTATGTATGTATGTATGTATGTATGTATGTATCTATCTATCTATCTATCTATCTATCTATCTATCTATCTTTCTAACTATCAGACTTCAAGTGCCATGTGTTGGTCTTTTGCAAGGATACCTCCTGAGCAAGCAGCACAGGACCTTATGCCTAGCAAGTATTCAAGTAAGAGCTATTGAATGAAAATGTCAGCAGACTGCGCCCAGCTTCCTAAAGCTCAGTGGTGTGTGTGTGTGTGTATTTTTGAGACAGTCTCACTCTGTCATCCAGGCTGAGGTGCAGTGGCATGGTCACTACTTATTGTGGCCTCAATATCCTGGGCTCAAGTGATCCTCCCACCTCAGTCTCCTGAGTAACTGGGACTACAGGCTGATTTTTTTTTTTTTTTTTAATTTTTAGTAGAGATGGGGTCTCACTATATTCCCCAAGCTAGTCTCAAACTCCTGAGCCCAAGTGATCTTCCAGTCTCGGCCTAATCCAAGTGCTGAGATTACAGGAGTGAGCTAGTGTGCTGGTCAACAACAACATTTTATAGCAGGGTGAGGAAGATACAATTTAGTTTGTGGAGCGCAGTGAACCTATCTCAAAGCCGTGTTTGCCAACACAGCGCACTCTTTCCCTAGGTCATGCGGCTGTTTGCACAAGGTGGATAGCTGAAAAGAGGGAGATATTAAAGCACTCCCAGCCACCCCTTGGCTGCCAGAAAAGCCTGGTGGTTGTGTGATCCTACATTAAGATAAAGTGAGTCGGAGGATGCCAGCCGGCTTTCTTCTATTCTCAGTCTGTAACCAGAGATCCTAATCTTGACGTAAAGTGGAGATTCACTTCTGGACATGCTTCATTCTAAAGGCATGCAGTGAGGAGAAAGGAAGGAGCACATTTTGAGGAGGAGGGCGGCCTTTGAGAGAAATTCCTTCCAGTAGGGTGAGGGCAGTAGCATGTTACCCTCTTACATCCTCCTGGAAGCCTCCTGTTTGTCGGTCTGTCTAGGGCCCATCTTGTGAGCACTGAAGGGAAAGACATAGGGCATGCAGCTGGGGTTTGTGATGATATTTCGGCACCCACGCACTGCACAACACATACGACACGTGATATTCCTTTCCCTGGTATTGCTAACTTGCAATCTCCGTGGCTCAGGGGCCTCTTGCCTTTGAATAAGACTTGGGAGAGAAGCAGACGGCAATCGGCAATCGAGCCTCTAGCTTTCCATTGACAAGGAGGCAGCTCCAAACTGGGATTACTGATTTCTATTTCAAAACTGCGTTCAATTTAGTTGATTTAAACGACTTGACTTTCCTCTGTGAAATGACGGCGGCACGTGAGCTCAGCCAGTCGCTCTGTGAAAGGCATCAACACGCTCCCTGCAGGGACCGATGGAGCTCCGCCGCCCATTGTTTATCTAAAAACAGCGTTTTATTATTGTCGCTCAATTAGTCCAGACAGCGGACACAAATGACTTTCAACAGCTACATCCTGATGCTGTGTATCACACATAAAATGCCAAAGACTGCTCTAATAGCTAGCTAATAAAATCAAAATGTGCCTTTGTCGACTCGATGATTACTCACATCGTCACTCTTTCTTCTGAAATCTCTTCTTAATCTAATTACAGACAATATTTCCACTTTAGTAAAAGAACATTAACCTCAGTAATCAACAATTCTGTCCTCAATTTATTTATGAGCAAGCAATCAAGGTTTTTCTGAACGTAAACTTTGGAGGAGTGTTTATTTTCTATATACAAACTAGCATATTTTTTTCCTCTCAGGTCAAAATATTATTTCCTATAGGGTTTTTCCCTTCAAGCTTTTCTTCTTCCTAAAAATTGCACAATCTGTCATTTCATAGGCACCCATGAAAAGCCATTCATAAGTTTCTCCCTGTTTATATTAACTGCTGTGAAAACGCTATTATACGCAAATATTTCAACTGTTTGGCAAACATGCTTTCATACACGCACATTCACCGCAGAGACAGCTGCCTGAAATAGGAAAGGCCCTTTGAAAAAGAAGTGAAGGCTGGGCACAGTGGCTCACTCCTACAATCCCAGCACTTTGGGAGGCCAAGGCAGATGGATCACGAGGTCAAGAGACCAAGACTATCCTGGTCAACATGGTGAAACCCCGTCTTTACTAAAAATATAAAAATTAGCTGGGCGTGGTGGCACACCCTGTAGTCCCAGCTACTCAGGAGGCTGAGGCCGGAGAATTGCTTGAAACTGGGAAGCAGAGGTTGCAGTGAGCTGAGATTGCGCCACTGCACTCCAGCCTGGGTAACAAGAGCGAAACTCCATCTCAAAAAAAAGAAATCAAATGCATTGAGCCACTCAACATTTGCCATTTTTCAATTCCGACTTGGAAGCCTGGATGACTTTAACATATAGAAATTACATTTGCCAGTGATTGCACTAGAACGTTGTTCTTTGAACAGAAAGACCCTGACAGCCGATTTATACCTCTAATTTAGAGAATGAAGAAGTTGAGGATCAAGAGAAGTGAAGAGATTTAGCTCAGGTTGAGCAACTGCATGAGTGGCCAGTGAGGGACTGGGACCCAGCTGTTCTGAGAGCTCCTTGGATAGGTGTGTGAGGGAAACACAAAATACAGAAACTGTAGTAGTAAAGACTCCTCCTTACCTGTGTCATGAGACCCAGTTCTGCAGTGAGTGTTTAGTTGTTTAGCTGGATTGAAGCTGCCTTTTGTGGCTGGCCACCACCTCCCACCCCGTTACCTTCATCTTAAAACACACACGTGTGCTCTTGGGTCATATAACATTTCTCAAGTTTTCATTTGAGTTTAAGGTTGGACTACATCCAGGCTAAACATAAAGGAAACCTCAAGGCCAGCCCTCCCCTCCACATGGCCCCTGCCAAGTTCCCTCTGGTTTTAGCATAGATGGGGAACCAACATGACCTCATGGCTCAAGACTCCAACCCCGGACAGGCTTGGTCTCGCCTCCTCTCTGCACTCTACTTGGGGTGAGAAGAAAGGGGGTGATGCTGGCAGTGTGAGAGGAATTCCTCCTTTTACCCATAAGCAGAGAAATTACATTAAGTCAGGACTGAAGGCCAAAGTCAAGGAACCTGTGAGGGCAGAATGAATGGACGTGCAGTTGGGAGGCCAGAGCTCTGTCCTCCTGAGCCCACTTCTTGCCTGTTACCTTGGACTGAGCATCCAGCATTTTATCAGGAGAACCAGAAGCAGGAGGTCGTGACCAAAGAAGGGCCTAAGAGTCAAGCAACCTTACCTCTGGTCCACAGCAAAACGCATCTGCCACTTAACCAGCTCTAAGCCATTTGGGCACAATTCTTTTTTTAACTAATTAATTAATTTTAGAGATAGAGTTCTGCTCTGACACCCAGGCTGGAGTGCAGTGGTGTGGCCAAAACTCACTATAGCCTGGAACTCCTGGGCTCAAGTGACCATCCCTTCTCAGCCCCTCGAATAGCTAGGACCACAGGCACATGTCACCATGCCTGGCTAACTTTTAAAATCTTTTTGTAGAAACAGGGCTTACTATATCGTCCAGGTTGGTCTTGAACTCCTGGCCTCAAGCCATTCTTCCACCTTGGCCTTTCAAAGTGCTGGGAACACGGGTGTGAGCCACAGCACCTGGCCACAGTCACATCCCACAATTTTCTTCTAATTATGTCATCTTTCCTCTTGGTGAAATGGACCACTCTTTGAAAAGCACAAAATGTCCTGCCAATGCAAATCCTTACTTGCCCCACTCTCTTATTTTCATGGAACGGTGATAAGTGCAAAGAAGAAGTAAGAAGTGTCTAATGTCTGCAAGTGAGTTAAAAAAGAGTACTTTGGCAAGAACACAGGGTTATTTTATTAGCTATTACTCGGGGATCATATGCCCTGTGTATGCCTTTAAAAGAATACTGTTTTTTTTTTTTTTTTAATCATGCTGTTATCCTTCTGGCCCTCAAATTCTTTCAGGTTGGTGGCAGTTAGTCAGTTTCTCTTCCTTCGCTGCCTGCCCTCACAAGGTGAAATACCATCCCCAATTGGGGGCTGCCATCTAGCTAGCTGCTTGGCTAGATGACGGGCTTCCTTTATTTCCACTGGCTAACGTCTCAACAGTACTGTGCTCTGGCTTTTAATACCTTCCGCAGGAAGCCACAAGAATGACCCTCAAAACGCGCGGGTCTTTCTGGAACTCTTCACCTTGAATTTTTAAGCCTTCACCCTCTCTTAAGTTCTGGCCTCTCTTGCCTTCTGAAACCACAAGGCAGTTAGAGATTCTAATCTCCCAACAGAAGTCACTTTGGCATCCACAGTCAGATGTCACCTGGGGTCACAGTCGCCTGTATGCGGTGGAAAGTTCTAAGCAGTTGCAGTTGCTTTTGTGATATGCCAGTTGACTTGAAGACAGAAGTCCAAAACCCAACAGGAAGGTGAGTTTTCTGAGGCATGTTAAAAATACATTTACGTTTGTTTATATGTGAGCCATTATTTTTAGTCTGCGGAAGAGGCTTTGACTAGGATCTAGAGGCTCGTGGGGTCATGGCATAACTAGAGATATTTGTGTCAGGACAGCAGCAGTCATTCGGGCTCTTCTCCTGGTTATTATCCCACTTTCCTTTCTCCCTACCAGTCCCACAGTTCTGGAGAAGGAGGTAAAACTGAGCCCAGGTCTGCTTCTCCGTGTCATTTCTCTGTTCCTCTCTAGGCTAGCTGCCACCACCAGGCATGCCGTTCGTGAGCAGCACACAGCTGAGCTTCTGGCTTCAGGAAGCTCTCTTGTTGTTAAGTTGCCAGGCTGTGACTTCAGAAGTCTCTGCCCTGCGGTGCTGTGCTCAGCGTGGCCTAGGGTGCTTGGCAGCGGCTAGCAACCGTGAGCTCAAGCCTCACCTTTGGGCCACGCGAGCAGGTTGGCTGGACATCTGTAATCTAGATAGTTCCTGCTTCATTGTGGGATCTCCACCCACTGAGAGGTGGCCAGGAAGTTTTAAAAGACATGCTGCTTCTTTAGAATCTGGTTTTTTGCATTCATTTCAGATGGAATGACTGGGAAGTAGGGGAAAAAACAGAAAAGCACAGTGGTGCTCTCCTGCGAATGCAGCATCTGTCCCACCTCCACGCAGTCAAGCAAAGCAGAGGGCATGTGAACCGAAAAATTTAAGGTGAGGTGACGGGAACACCCCAAAGGACCACTGGCTGACACAAACTCTGGGACCAATGGAGGGCCCAGAGCACTGACAAATCAACGGTGACCACACACAGCCTCTGTACTTGTGTCTCATGGACTGTGTCAGTAGAGTTTCTCTTGCATTTAAACATACCTACTCTGTGTATGACTACCCCCAAGCTGGTCTTGAACTCCTAGTCTCAAGCAATCCTCCCACCTTGGCCTTTCAAAGTGCTCAGATCATGGGCGTGAGCCACGGCACCTGGCCATGGGCACATTCCACAGTTTTCTTCTAATTACGTCATCTTACCTCTTGGTGAAATGGACCGCTCTTTGAAAAGCACAAAATGTCCTGCCAATGCAAATCCTTACTTGCCCCAATCTCTTATGTTCATGGAATGATAAATGCAAAGAAGAGGTAAGAAGTGTCTAATGTCTGCAAGTGAGTTAAAAAAGATGTACTTTGGCAGGAACACAGGGTTATTTTTATTAATTACAAGCTATTACTTAGGGATCATATGCCCTGTGTGTGCCTTTAAAAGAATACTTTTTTGTGTGTCAGGGCAAGCAATGCCCTGACAGCCCAGAGCTATTTGGTACTGTCTTAGTCGCTTGGGCTGCCATAACAAAATATCACACACACGGTGGCTTAAACACAGAATTTCATTCTCTCACAGTTCTAGAGGCTGGGAAGTCCAAGATCAAGGTGCCGGTCTGATTCCTGGTGAGGGCTCCATTCCTAGTTTGCAGACAGCTGGCTTCTCGCTGTGCCCTCACATGGCCTTTCCTCTGAGTGTGCATGAAAAGAGACAGGGAGAGACATCTCTGGTGTCTCTTCCTCTCCTTACAAGACCACCAGTCCAGTTGGATTAGGGGGTCCACCTCTGTGATCCCACTTAACCTTAATTACCTCCTAAAGGCCCTATCTCCAAATATAGTCATATGGGGGGGAGGTTAAGACTTTAACATATGAATCTGGTAGGGACACAGTTCAGTTCATAGCAAGCCCAGACAAGTATAGCTGACTCAGGCTTGAACTGCTCCTCATACAAGCCCTTTTTTGTTTTCACACACCCAGGTTCAGGTGTGCCCAAGCAGCAGCTGTATCTGTTTATCAGAGGGTTGCCCTCGATCCAGAGATATTTTGATAATGCAGTAATGAAGATTGGCTTCCTTCTAGAAATGACAGTCCTTAACCAGTGAATGACAGGTGAGAGGGAGGGGTAAATACTCCAGCAGCTTCCTTGCTCCTTGGCCAGGACAGCAGTGACAGTATGTAGGAAGATCTGGAGAGAGGGTGAGTCACATCTCAGCGTTTCCTTTCTTGGGGGGTTGCTCAATGTTGTACCCTGTCCCAGCATCCTCCTTTCCTTGTGAGGCCCACTTCTCAAACCCCTAACCAGTTTTTCCTGGGAATATTCCTTAAATGAATCCCTCAGGCTCTGCTTCTGAGGAGTCCAACCTCAAACAACACAACACTCAAGTGGCAGCATTTGTCCCAACTCCCAGCATCAACCCAGCATCCCCTCAGCTTAGATGATTTCTCAATGTTTTGAAGTTCAGGCTTCCTGGGTCATTTCATAAAGATTCTCAGAGTGAAAGAATTCATAATCCTGTCACAAACGCATAATAGGCAACTGTTTTTCCACTCTAAAGAGTCTTTTGAAAGATCCCAGCTCAAAGTCAGTACCAAGGCCCTAAGGGAAATTCTGCTTCCTCAGTTTTAATTCAGAACAACCTAGGCCTTGGCCAAAGCTTCCAATCAAGACACCCACAAATCACATGGTGCTTTCCTCTCCCTGTAGCCCAGCAAATATCAAAGCCAACTGGGGCTTTATATAGCATCCACCAACTTTGGATAACTTTTCAAAAATGGTTTTAGTTTCTTTCTCATTGTCTCCCCAGAGTCTGATAATTCTGGGAAGAGGCCTGTAGATTGTCACCTGGGGAGTCCAGCAGAAAACCAATCCTGCAACTCCAGAAAGCTGGACAGGCGCTTCAAAAAGCCCACTTTTTCCTATACTGGGAGTGGTCAGCTCTCTCCTTCCTCCAGGCCCTTGGAGCCTTGGGACTGTCTCCTATTGCTCTGCAGAGTGGGCTGTGTTGGACACAGTGCAAAGAGTAAAATCAATGACGCAAATGGGGAGAACTGCAGTGACTCAAGCTTCTCTTGCCTTCTCCTTACATAAACTTCAAGAGCATCTAGTTCAGGAGAAGCATCCACATTTCATTCAACATGACACGCTCCCTAGGAAACTTTCCACAGTGCCCACATCACTAGAGGCTGGACTTGCTGTGATCACCATGGCTCTTGGGCCAACCCTGGAAACATTCCAAAGACACAAGCTTGGCAAGAAGCCTAAAGAGAAATACCCAGAAGTCCTATGGGTTATTGAATCTCAATGTGCACTTCTCAGACAAGGACTTGTAGGAAGGCAGACACGACAGGAAAGGAGGTCTCAGGAAAGCTCTCTGAGTCCCAATTCCTAGTCTTAGCTTCCCCTGCTGAGGGTACTGATCGATTTGGAATGGTGGACTGGGACCTGGAATTTCATGTACAGTTCACTTTCTACAAAGGGTGCTTCTCCAGCTTTGTGAAGGAAAGGAGAAGCTATGCGAGAAGGAAAGAGATGGAAGTGGCAAGAGGAAAGGAGGGGCAGTCAGCAGCAAGATACGCATTGTCACGTCACGACTTGATTCAAGTTTTGCTGGACAGACGCTTCAGGGCCTTGCTTTTGCCCTCAACCCACAGATCCGAGGGCGGCCTAGTGAGGCACAGCTCCCCTCTCCCCCCACCACAGGAGTGTTTGGGTTGGAGGAGGAGGTGTTAAATTCCAGCCTCAGCACAAATCTTGAAGACTGCCAATCCAGGTGTGGCAAACAACAAAATGTGCTTTTGCTTTCCTTTGCTCTTTCCTTTCTTGCCAATCAAGAGTGAATGGATTCTGAGCTTTTGCCGGTACTTAAATTAATTTTTGATGAGAAAATAAAGTTGAGGGTGGGGAGTGGGAGTTAAAATTACAGCCTGCTCTATGAAGGCAGAGTAATTTCTGGAAGGTCATAGCTGCTACTGGTGAGCGTGGCCTGGAGTTAGGAACAATGTACTTGCTGTTTCAGGAGCAAATCCAGGCTGGAGAAGGCTCTCTCTGCATAACTCAGGGTTGGATTTAGCTCTGCATTCATGCAGACCTCTCTGACCATTGATGGATGAGCTAGCGCTGTATGAGCATCGGCCTGTCGCTGACCCACACTTTATTCTTTAGTCCTGAGGTCACAGCATTTCCATGTGGACTTATGATTCCAGTGAGACAGGGAGAGTAGGGGAAGAAGCTGGCATGGGCCCTTGGCTCTTTTATTACCTAGGACAGTGCTTGGAATGCCATAGGTGCTCATCGTGCGCATGTTGAGAAAAGAACTTACCAATGCAGCCCTATTCTCTATAGTTGTTCACTGAGGAGACAAAAGCAAGATACAGGGGGTGCTATTCAATGAGAGAAACATACAAGGATCTCCTTTTTTTTTTTTTTGGAAATGAAGTTTCTCTCGTCGCCCAGGCTGGAGCGCAGTGGTGCGATCTCAGCTCACTGCACCCTCTATCTCCCAGGTTCAAGCGATTCTCTTGCTTCAGCCTCCCAAGTAGCCAGGATTACGGGTGCCTGCCACCATGCCCAGCCGATCCTTTTGTACTTTTAGTAGAGATAGGGTTTCACCATGTTGGCCAGGCTGGTCTCAAACTCTTGACCTCAGGTGATCTGCCAAAGTGCTAGGGTTACAGGAGTGAGCCACCGGGCCCAGCCCACAAAAATCTGCTTTATTTCTCTCTTTCTAAACCTAAACATTAGATATGCCATTGAGCTTTGTGAGAAAGGGAATGAAAGAAGCATTACTTGAAGTGAGTAATCCATGCTTTCTTGCCTCTACTTTAGGGGCAAGGAACCACTTTGGTGTTGTGCATGAGAACGGGGACCCTGCGGGCAGATGGCTTTGGATCATCGTCCTCCCTCCATTACTTTGTAGCCATCAGACCTAGGGCAAGTTACTTCGCCTCTCTATGCCTTGGCTCTTCGTTTCTAAACTGATAACATTAACAGAGCCTATGTCCTAGGATTGCTGTGACAATTACATATAAATGAGTCAACATATGTGTAGCATGCAGAACAATGCCAGGCACACAGCAAGTGCTATTTATGTTCTTCTTTCCTCCTCCTCCTCTTCCTCCTCCTTCTCTTACTTTGTACCAGACCCTTTATATAGATTGTCTTATTCCGCATACAATAGCCCTGTAATGTAAACCCTATTTTATTTATTTTGAGATTTAGGGAACTGACTCTACACCACATTAAGTAATTTGTTTAAGGTCTCGCATCTAGTGAGTGTTGGATACTGTGTTGGAGCTTCAGTCTGTCTGACTTCAAGGCCTCTGCTCCTTGCAGAGGTTTGACATGTTCCCTGCTTGCCATCGTGGTGGCGTTCTCTCAACCACCAAAGCTCACGGAAACATGCCACTCAGATCAGCTTCCACCGGATGCTGACAGAGGAGCAATTATACCTCTGCCAAAGAAAGTTCTCAGCGCCAGTAAGGGTTCTGGCTACTGTGGTATACTTAAAGGAAATGAATTTAGGAAGTTTTAATTAAGATTTCAAGGACGAGAAGAGGAAAATGTGAAGGAGATGGAATAAATATTCTTCTACTTTGATTGGTAAGGCCAAAATTCCCTTTTGCTATCTCATGAAGATTGAGGTCCTGGGATTCAGGAATAGGATGCTTTGTTATTTGGTATTAAAAAGCAGTAGAGCTCCAAATATATGCAATCAATCCCTCCCATCTTTAGGGAAACCTAAATCTAAGCTGCCTGGTATAGAGAGCCACTTGTCCTGTGAGAAAAGCCACTTTTCTAAGATTTAACAGAGAATAGGAGCAGGAAAGAGAAAGACTAGTGTAAGGCAGTTGCTAGAAGAACAGAATTGCTTTACAGTTCTGACTTCATAACCTCGTTTTCCTGACCCGATAATTCTGAGATTAACTTCTCTGGGTGTATCTAGAAACTATTGCTTCTGTGAGGTGGTCACCAGACCAGGTGACCTTTTAAGTTTAATGTATTAGAGCCAGCTGGGTCTTTGAGCCAGTCTAAGGAGGCTTGTGAATATTTGCAAGCCTTGTTTCTCTGCCTGGTGGCTTTTCAGTGCTACCTAAGCATCTATACAGCTATTGTGTCTGACCTGCTCTGGGGACTGAAACATATGGTTGGAAGAGGAGGCAGTGGTTTTTTTTTTCTCCAGTAGATTTCTAAAACCTTTAAATGAAGTATTGCTCATATAGAGAAAAGCACATAGATCATAAGTATATAGTCCAATGAGCTGTCACAAAATGAATGTACCTGGGTAAGTGCCACTCAGGTTAAAGAATAGAGCATTATCAGCACCCAAGAAATCCACTAATATTCCCTCCAATTTATCATGCTCTTCCTTCTCTCCAAAGGTTACCACTGTCCTGACTTACAATGCCATAGGTTAGCTCTATTTGTATTTGGGCCACATATAATTAGAATCACATGTTATATATTCTTTTAGGTCTGGCTACTTTCACTTACTGTTATATTTAAAAGTTTTATTAGATTTGCATGTAATAGGAGTTCATGTATTTTCATAGCTGAATGATTTTCCATTCTGTGAATATACTGTGAGTTATTTACCCATTCAATTGTCCATTTAATGGATATCTGGGTTGTTTAAAATGTGAGGTTATTATTAATAATGCCACCATAAGCATTCTTATACATGTCTTTTGTGTACTTTTCTGTGGGAGTACAGACCTGCAAGTGGAACTGCTGAGTCAGAATGTACACAGAGTACTCAGCATCAGAGGAGACCTGCCACTTTCACCAAGTGTGTGTGTTCAGAATCCTTGCTAACAATTGGTGTTGTCAGGCTTTTAAATTACAGTCAATCTGGTAGGTGTGTAGTGGCATATCATTGTGGTTTTAATTTTTATTTTCCTTAAGACTGATGAAGTTGAGTAACTTTGAAAATGTTAATTGGCAATTTGGCTACCTTTGGTGAAGTGTCTGAGCATGGCATTGGGTTATTTGTCTTCCTTGTTGATTTGCAGTTTTTGTATATTCTGGACATGCATTATATGTGTTGCAAATAACTTCTTCCAATGTACCAGTTGTCTATTCGGTACTTTCATGGCATTTTGTAGTGAACAGAATGTCTTAACATTAAAGGACCACAGTGTATCTTTTCCTTTCTGATGAGGACATTTTGTGACTATTTAAAAAATCTTTTTCTTAACCTAAGATCCTGAAGATATTCTCCCATGTTAACTTCTAGAAGAGGGGCTGGCAAACTATGGAGTGTGATCCAAATCCATTCTGCCAACTGTTTTTATAAATAAAGTTTTATTGGGATACAGTCATGCTCATTCATTTACACATCACCCACGATACTTTTGTGCTACAATAGACCTTATGGCACACAAAGCCCAGAATGTTTATTCTCTGGCTCTTTACAGAAAAGGTTCGCCAACCCTCTAGAAGGTTTATTGTTTTGCCTTTCACATTTGGAATTGATATTTGTGTATAGTGTGTGGTAAGGATCAAGATTTTTTTCTATATGAATATGTAATTAAACAAGTGTCACTTATTAAAAGATTATCTTTTCCCCATGATTCCCTATGCCATAAATCAAATCAAGTATGCATATATGCATGGATCTGTTTCCAGGTTTTCAATACTTTTTATTGGTCAGTTTTTCTATCCCATGACCAATGCCACTCTGTTTTACTTGATGCACTTTTAAAAATGAGCCTTGATATCTTCCCAGTTCATTTTTCATCAAGATTGTCTCTGTTACTGTTAAGACTTGACATATCTGTATTAGTTTTTGAATCAGCCTATCAATTTCCTCAAAACACCTCCCTGGGATTTAGATTGGCATTATATTGATTCTGTACATTAATTTGGAGAGGTTGGACTTATTTACGATGATGATCATTCCAGTTCATAAAAGTGATATACTTTTAATTTATTTAGATCTTCTCAATTTACTTCAATAATATTTAGACCTGTCTTTGATATCCTGTATGTATGTTCATAGGTTTATCTCTAAGTATCTTTGACGCTATGATAATTTATGTCAACACTAGCTTTTGTGTAAAAAAAAAAAACCTACTAACTAGTCACCTACTAAAATGGTTTAGCTCTGTGTCCCCAACCAAATGGTAAATTTTAATCCCCATTGTTGTCGGAGGGGACTGGTGGGAGGTGATTGGCTCCTGGGGGCAGATTTTCCCCTTGTGATTCTCATGACAGTGAGTTCTCAGTGATCTAGTTGTTTAGAAGGGAATGGCACCTCCCCCTTCTTTCTCTTCCTCCTTCTCTGGCCATGTAAGATGCACCTCCTTCCTCTTCACCTTCCACTGGTGATTGTCAGTTTCCTGAGGCCTCTGCAGCCACACTTCCTGTGCAGCCTGCAGAATCAGGAGCCAGTTAAGCCTCTTTTCTTCGTAAATCACCCAGTCTCAGGTAGCTCTTTACAGCAATGTGAAAACAGATAATACACCCAGAAAATGCCATGCTGTAGTGGAAATACTGTGGAGACCTAAAACAATAGTACATGTTCCAAGAAATAAAAATTGTTGAGTGGTAAAGGGAAGTGACAAGCCTGGCAGAAAAAACATCATCACACCTAAGATTAACCTAAGATCCTGAAGATATTAACATATGGAGACGGAGACTTAAGTGGTTAACATACTCACTTAAGTCTCCGTCTCCTCTGTGGGTTGAGAATGCCTACTGGTATTGGCTCACGTGGACTCGTTCTCTTAAGACGCCATGACAGAATGGGAAGAGTGCTGGTGGAATGTCAGGACTCCTGAATCCTAAGCTTGGTTCTTCACAGACTAGTGAAATTTCAGGCACAGCTCTACCTAACCTCCTTAGATCTCAGTTTTTACACCTCTAAAAAGTGAGTTGGCTCTAACATTGACTTATAAATAAGGAAAGGGAACCATTTGGTTCCAGGTGAGTTTTGACATAGGGATGTCCTGGGTATGATTTGGGGGGCGGGGTCTGCCTGCCAAGAGATTTCTTAAAGAAAAGCAATCTCCCCAGTAGTTTGTGAATACTTAGCAATTTTACAGAAACAAATGTCTCTGAGAGAGGGGATCCCTGAGGTGAACAAGCAGAGGAATAACAGGTGCAAGAAGAGATCACAAGGATCAGGCACAGGGGCCTCATCTGAAGCACGTTCAGAGGTGGAGGAGGTTCAGGAGAAAGCATGGAGGCAGAAGTGCAATGAAGCTGGCAGTGCTTACGCAGGGACCAGCCTTTGAATCATGAACCTTTCACAGAAGAGATGACTTAGGATTCTGCCTTAAAAGTCTTTAAAGAAAGAGTTGCAATAAATGAACAAAAAGTGCTGCCATTTCTGTTTGTGTCTAACAGTGATGATGAGGCGTGGGTAGAGCAGCAAAGGCTCTTTGTCAAAATCCATGGTCCTCGTCATCTAGCAAAATATTCATGCTGAAATCTTTCCTGATCTTTGACCTCTGATCTTTGCTGCCCAATCAGAGACTCCCTTCCCAGCACACCTGTGCCTCTGGGTTGGGCCAGTAGAATATATAGAATTAATATTTGTTACCTCTGAACCACTACAGTTAAGAAGCATGTGTGCCTTCTCCATCTTTTTTTTTTCTCTTTCCATGGCTAGAACCTGAGGACTCCAAATTCCCAGGAGATAGTGGAGCTGCGAGATGTAAGTAGCCTGTCTTAGCTTTGTGCTGCTACAACCGAATACCTGGGACTGGGTAATTAATTAAAAACTGAAATTTATTTCTCATAGTTCTGGAGGCTGGAAAGTCCAAGATCAATGCACCAGCATGTTAATTTCTCAGTGAGTCTCTGCTTCCAAGATGGTGCCTTCAATACTGCAACCTCTAGAGGGAAGAAGAGATGTGTCCTCACATGGTAGATGGCAGAAGGGCAAAAAGGGAAGAACTTCTTCTATCAAGACCTATTATAAGGACATCTAATCTCGCTCATGAGAGTGGAACCCTTATGTCCTAATCACCTCTTCAAGGCCCTACCTTTGAATACTATCACACTGGCAACACCTGAATTTTGGATGGATACATTCAGGCCATAGCAGAGCTTCAATCCTTGAGTCATCCCATGGAGAAAAGTTGTGTGCCCACCAGGAATACTTGCATCAGACTGTTCTGTGAAGGAGAAATAAAATTCTGCTGTGTTAAGCCACTAAAGTGTGAGGTTTATTTGTTACAGCAGCCAATGTTAACCTAAATAATGCAGTTTGTTTCTGAAACAATTCACAGTGTTGACAGTAAAGGAATAAAAGCACAATGTTGTTATGTTACTGCCATTTCACCTAGGAAAAGAGAAAATGTGGAAAGAGGATCGCTAAAAAAAAAAGTTTCCCTAAACTTTTTTAAGTCACTGGAGAATGTTCCCAATTTATATAAAAATAGGATGATAATGATGTCAACACATAATTTCTATGCCTAATAGATTTGCACTCCCCCAAGTTGCATTTTAATTTCCCTAAATTGGCTCATGACATATTCTTATGTGGGATTCAACATTTAGTAACAAATAAGACTTCCTTCTCTCTTGGCACTTCTTACTCCCCCCTTTCCCCCACGCATCCATATCCCTGCTGCCTTCTCCTTCCCACAAAGCTCATTTTTGGCAAAAAGGTTTTTATAAACCACACATTTTAATGAATTAAGTGTAGTCCCACAATCACACTTACATTTTCCTACAGTCCCCTGACTTCCACACTCCTCCAGCTATGGGAATTTTCCCTCACACCTCCAGAAAGGAAAAAAAAAAAATTGTCTATAAGTAGAAAAGTTATGCACAGAATGTGATGGCTCGCCCATTTTTCTTTTTCTTTTTTTTTTTTTAAATGCAAGAAGGAAGATGATTTTCAAACATTGCACGTCCTCTGAGAAACTAAAATATTCAGTGCTGTTTTTCTTTTGGCAGCAGCATAATTGGTTGTGATCACAAACCCACATAGTTCCTTTTATCCTTTTTAGTGGCAGCTTCACGGACTGTCTTCTACCCTGTCAAAGAAGAGAGTTGGGGTGTTTGACAGCAGAGAAATTTAGGAGAAATTCAGAGCAGAAAAGGAACTCTTACATCGTAATTTCCAACCTTCTTATTTTACTGCTGAGGATACTGAGGTTCATAGGTGGTTTAACTTGCCCAAAGTCATGGGGTTAGCCAATAGCTTCTGTATTGGTTAGCCAATACCCAACTTTTACAGTTTGTCTCACATAAAGTTTCGATCACACAATCTTCTTGGATCACTGCAACAGCCGCGTGATGGTACTGGAACCACCCTCTGCTGGAGAAGTGGGAAGACGTAAGAATGCTCATCAGAGCAGTAGCTCTTAGAATTGAATCCCTGACTACTGAGTCCATGTACTCAAGTCCACCTAGCACTTTTTTTCTATTATTTGTGGTGGCACCAACAAAGCATTGGGCACTTGGCCAGGGTCTGGAGTTACCTAGACAAAGGGCATACTCTATGCTCTCCAGCTCTCCAGGAGCACACAGTTTAGTGAGGGCAAATATAATTCCAATCCAGTATGATCAATGCTTCCATCTTTTGCACTTGGCACGCAGTCATTTAAGAAGCAATGGTTACATTTCCTCCCAAAAAAACCCAGCAGTGGTGGCTGTAGTGGTGGCTGCAGCAGCAGCAGCAGCAGCGGCAGCCGATGGCTGACTCATCAAACGAGGAGGCACCAACAGCTTTGCCTCGACTAAGGAACATCTTACTCAAGCTCCCTCCCACCCCCGATCACCACCTGTAGGCTTGGAACCAATAAAGGCTTTGGGAATGAAAGATAATGTGCTAATAGGATGTTAAAACAAAACCACTCTCACCACCCACCACCAGAGGTAGTTTGTGTAAAGGCGTTATTCCCCAGCCTCACGCTTCATTTCAAGACTCCAACTTGTGGCACTTAGCTTGGTTTGCAAGTGTTGCTTATCCAGAAAGCTCAGAGATTGCTTTTGGCAAAGGACTCGAAGTAGGCAGATCCAGCCCCTCTCGCTGTCTCTTTCTTGTTGCCAAAACATAAGACTCTTAGTTTAATGGAAAACTAGTGTGAATTTTGTATCCAAGGAATAACCTGAGATTACAGTTAAAATTAAGTAGTAGAGGAAGGTCGGGAATTAGAAAAATCAAGATCTGGTTCTGAAAAGTACTACCGTGTATGCCATACATACTCTGTATACCATACTATTAATACTGTGTATTAATTTTCACTCTTGAACAAGGTTGTTCACCTCTTGGTTTTCGTTTTTTCATCTTTGAAACAAGAAGAGTGAACCAAATCTTTTCTAAAGTCTCCAACAATTCTGGCACTATATACATTCAAAATTTTGTTATTTAATCTTAGAGAGTATTTATTGAGTTCAGTTACCATATGTGCCAGTCACTGTGATACACACTGGAAAAAGAGGTGAAAGGCCCAACTCCCTTTCATGTAGCAGAAAGACTAGCTAGGGAGTGGAGCAGTTAAAGTTTAGCAGGAGCCATGGGGTTGAAGAGGTGTGCACAGGAAGCTGTGGTGCACAGAAAAAGAGCACTGGGCACCTCCAGATTCACTTGATCCTTCTCCACTGATAGGAATCAGAATGTGCCAGTCTAAAATAGGCAACTTTAATGTATTGATTATTTTGAGCTGAATGAACAACAGATGTAGGAAAGGCTCTCTGATCTCTCTATTTCTACGCAAAAGCTGGCACAGATTTCCTACAAGAGAGTTGCCTGCCCTTCCCTGTACCAAGCAGAGAACATTCTTATTACTAAACACAGAGAGTCAATGTCAAGATGAAACTGTACAAACAAACCTACTAAAATAAGCTTTATCTTCCCCTAGTTTCCCCAGTATTTCCTAGTCACTTTCACATAGTCTGCTGCTCCAGCCCAAACTCCTTTTGCTTCTGTGTTGTCACATCTCCACAGTTGATTATTCTTTGTTCAAATAGTATATACCCTCTCAGGCCTCTTCATTTCTTCTTTCTATGAAGGCTTCTGTGCCATGCAAAAATGTTAACATCAAATTAAATGTATACGCTTTTCTCCTGTTAATCTGTCCTTTCTCAGTTTAATTCTCAGGCCTAGCTGCAGAATCTAAGAGGGAAGAGGACAAATCGTTCCTCCCTTACACCACTTTTGCTCTTCCCTGGGAGATTGGTCTACATGGACCACATGAACAAGACTCCTGGGCCATCTGGTTTCTCGTTGGATTCCACTGATGGACAGCACTTTAAGAGATTGGGGGAGAGAGGAGAGGCAGCTCTGGAGTATTTCTTTCTCTCCCTGGGAGGATGACTTCATCAAATATCACTGCTCATCCCAAACTCACCTACTGTCTCCCTTACCTTCTCCCTTATCACCTACAGATAATGAGAGCGCCACTGCTGCTGCTAGTCCAGAGTTTCTACACCAGTTCCTGCAGCATCACTTAGCTACACCCACAACTTTATAATTAGTTCCTTGTAAATAAACTTTCCTCATGTTTAGATGGATCAGAGGGTGTCATCTGTTTTCTGTTGGGACCCTGGATGGTGTCGGCATGAAACCCACTTTTGAGACATGTGTATATTGGAGGTAGTGAAGGAGCAGCAAGTTAAAGGGAAAGAAGGGGCAGGAGAATGGGGAAAGTGTCTCAGAGGAAAACAGGGCTAAATCTTGAAAGATGTACTGAAAAAACATAATGTCTTGAAAGAAATAATGAGAAGGGAGAAACGATTTTAGAGAGAAGCACGTGGAGGCTCAGAGACTTTAAAGTGTCCCTGGGGAAGGTGCAAATGCTCAAGGTGACTGCAGGGAAGGACTGGCAGGTGGGAGGATGGTAGGCGATGAGGCTGGAGGGGAAGTGATGGAGAGATTACGAAGGACTCTGTTCTGTGAATGAGTTTGGGTTCTATCCTGAAGACAATGGGAAATTATTGAAAGATTTTTAGGCAAAAAAGTAACACAATCTGGTTGGAATGTCGAAAGATCCCCCCGGTATGTAGTGTGGGAGGAAGCAGAACTGGAAACAGGTTGGCATGTTCTTTCAATGACCAAGGCAAGAATCAGTGACAATATGAACTCTGCAGTGATGGTAGGGCAGCAGGAAGTATGTGTGAGAACTATTGAGGAACAGAGAGAATTTGGTGAGAAATTCGGTACAGTGGTAAGTCTGAAATGATGCCCAGATGTTTGGGTTGGGCCAGTTAGTAGATGGTGGAATCATTCATAAACAGAGGGGATCCTACAGGGGGAACTGTACTAGTCTGTTCTCATATTGCTATAAAAAAAATACCTGAAACTGGGTAATTTATAAAGAAAAGAGGTTTAATTGACTCACAGTTCCACAGGCTGTACAGGAAGCATGATGGCATCTGCTTCTGGGGAGGCCTCAGGAAACTTACAATCATGCTAGAGGCAAAGGGGGAGCCAACACTACATGGCCAGAGCAGGAGAAAGAGAGAAAGAGGGAAGAGGAGCTACACACTTTTAAACAACCAGATCTCATGATAACTCACTCACCCACTATCACAAAAACAGCACTGAGGGGGTGTTGTAACCCCTTCATGAACACCACCTCCATGATCCAGTCACCTCCCGCCAGGCCCCATCTCCAGCTCTGGGGGTTAGAATTGACATAAGATTCGATGGGGACACAGGTTCAAACCATATCAAAAACCAAACTCAATTCATTCTTCATTAGGTTTTCTTTTCCAGTACCCTCAGGAACTCCCCCCTGATCACTGGCTTTTTTTCAGTTTTCGGCTTGCATGTTGCCCTTTGGTGGCCTCTGCTGTTATGACCCAGCAAGTGGGGATGAAGGCAGTTCCCTCCTCATATATAAAAATTAATGAGTGAATGCATGCACAGTTCCAGGCACAAAGTAAACATCGAATAGAGGTTACTGTGAAAACCAATGTGTAAACTCCT